ATGTTTCCGTTTTCGCTAAAATGACAATTTAAATAGCCAACGACCACTACTTCTTACGCGCGACGAGTATACTCGTCACGACACTGACAGACAACTGGTTAATTGGTGTCGAATCCGCGGTACGGATGCGGAAGTTCGAAGCGACGGATCGTCCTGCAATTCCCAGCGGAAATTGTCTGAAAGGGAGCGCATCGCCGCACGCTGGCACCAAATCCCGAAGACATGGTCAAGATACAAAGACGAGGATCGGAATTAAATTGAAAAATGGTTGAAAAATGTACGAAAGTTATTTGAACAGAGATAGAAGTCGTGATGTATGATGAACTTGTACGCTGCAGGATAAAAATATACACCGAAAGTTCCAACTGGAATTTTGACAGGATGTTAGAACTTTTCCTCTACATCTTCAAGTTATTCAGTGATTTCTCTTTAACCCTTTGTGCTCGAGTGGCGACTTTGAGGCACCGCTAAAAAGATTGTTATATCACGTTCTAAGATCATTTTTATATTATCAAAGTTTCGATTTTAAACATTACTGAAAGCGTAGCTGTCGCATGAATCACAACACTGTATAAATCACAAACTATAAAATATACTTTGTCGTGTAAAATGAAAGTAATACAAGTCAGAAAAATTATTTTAGATTTACAGTTGAAATGAGTTCGAGTGTAAAGGGTTAATTCGTGCTCACATTGGGCACAAAAATGGACAATTTGGGAAGAGGAGCCTTGCGTCTCGTTTTTATAGTTGTCGACAATCGCTAACTATAAAAACGAGTCCCCAAGGCTCGAATAATCGTACTTCCTCTTCCTAAATTGTCCACTTTTGTGCGCAATCTGAGCGCGAATTACGGAGAAATTACTGTACTTTTTGCACTAAATTGGTGCACATTCGCAATCACATTCGCAACAGCTATTTAACTCACGTTTGCACCGCAATTGTCTCTCCATTTTCTCCAACACTTCACCACGGGGACATCGATAAGTTATTCATCGTACACAACGGTTGAAATAAACCTACGCGAAGATTCATTTTTAGTAGTTCTGACCGCGTTTCGATCATTTAGGATCTGTTTTCGTGTAGAAACGGTAGAATCTGGCCCAATTTGTTCGCCGCGGGACGAGTTTATTAAAAGCAATCGAGTGTGACGTAAAGGCAATCTCGCGGATGAATATTTATAGCGAGAAATTCAGTTACAGCTGCGACCGTAACGTGAAACATCCAGCGCCGGATATCTCCGAGACGTCCTGGAAATTTTTAAACGAATCTCGGCGGCCTCGCGGCCGGATCTCTTTTCCCGTTACACGGTTATGCGATGTATAAGGTCGTTGCAGCATGTACCGCCGCCAATAATCGCAACTCGGCCCCGAGTCGGTTTAACGGGCTACTACCATGAATAGTTCAGCTGTAAACTGCAGCTGCAGTACGGCGTCGATGGAATCAGGGGTAGAGTTACAGACTGGCGTCGCCGTAAAGCGCCTAGAAAATGAGGATTCAAGGAATGTGCCCGCCGGGAACTGATTGAATACAGGGTGAACGCACTCTCGAAGCTGGCCAGCGCGCTGGTCTCTGTTCGAACACGGGTAAACGGTTCTTGGTACTGCACCATGTAATAATCACGGTAATCGAGTCCCCTACCTTGGCCAGACTGCAGTTGTAATCAAGGATAGTTCAGATTTTAAATACGTGCTATCGTTAGCGGGATTAGCTCCTTCTTATCCGAGAAGTTTTATCTCGTCTGTTTCAGAACTTTGTACGATTTCAATTCGTAATGTAATTATGACAAGATTGGATTTATTAAAACTTCGCACGATTACTGTTTTAATTAGACTCTGGATTTTGTTCGTTTATGGGAGAAGTAAGTAAAGAAGTAGCAGAACAATGAGGACGTAAAAAGAATTTCAGAAAATTGCTACGTTAATTTCCATGTATTGAAAATATTAAAAGATGAAGTACATTTCTATTCGATTCGTGTGTCTTTTGCAATTCACGTAGACAATTTTTAAATTACATTCGCAGTTAAATCAGGATATATGCTTGAATAAAGAAGTTTATCAAAAAATTCGTCACAGGAATATTTATGTAGCTTCAATTACTGTAAAATGAAGAATTAGTAATATCGAGTAATGTCAAACAATTAACAGACACAAGATGTAAATTTGTGTCAGTCATCGAATCACTTTGAATAAAAAAATATACCTAGGAAGTCGATTGTATTATTGTTCTTCTGTAATTTAGACGAGTTTCATGATTACAGTAGTTCATTCGTTTGTTTTGGAAAGCATCATTTTTGTATTTTCTTTCATATTGTGTTTCTTATTACGTGTTTCTCAAGTGTTTGGACAAGCTCAAGGCGATAAAACACGAAATATCAGAAAGTGTTGGCTCGGTCATGAAAATGATCGATCTATTTAAAAAATTCAATGTCTCCAATTCGATAATGTTGTTCGTAAATATAAGTAAAATTATCGTAAGGCCACAATAACCAGGGGGGAGGGGCGGCACAGTAATTGATACACTTAGCCTAGTTAGCAAGCCGTGGGAGTGGCCCATTAACAGCGGCCTGAACTCCATCAGGAACATTCGTCCGTACACAGCCGCTCGAAAGATCGTTTGCGCGTTTATTGCCCGGCATTCTGCATAAGTTGAACGCGACACATTGGACACCCAGTACACCAGCACTCATGCATATGGAATTCCTCGGCGACACGTCTGCATCCTGCCACGCAGCCGGGGCGAGAGCCAGTATCAGAAGTGTGAGATAGCTCTTCCGGCTCTCGGGCCGTGGCGGGCTGCGGCGGGCCGGGTGCCGTGGCGCGGGGGCGGACCCCGGCTTTATCGCGACTCTATTAATTACCGCGATCTGCCATAAATTCGTAGTAATAGTTAGGATTTACTCGAGACAGCGGGGAGGTTAAACGATCACATTAAACGCACCTAGTTGCAGGACAGACCGCCATAAGGGAGTTCTGTCAGGTAATTACGGGGGACAAACGGCGCGATATTTTACGGAAAGGCTTCCCGTAGCTCTTTAATCTCCAGCCGGAGAATCCTTCTCCGGCTGTGCCCGGTGCGTTCGAACGCGATGCAACGATCGCAATTTCGACGGTAACCGGACGATTGTTCAGCCCGGCTCCTTTGAGACACCGAAGACTTAGAGGATCGAGCCGACGACGCACGACCTGTCCTCCTTGGATCTTCTCTCGGCGGACACTCGAGACGCGATGGCTTCCCCTCTAAGACAGCGGCTCGGAAGCCCTAGATTCCCGATCGCCCCGCCGATGCAAAAACCATAAATTGATGGTCGACGAGCCTGTCGTCGGATATCTGTCCGCCGATCGGCAACTATCGTCAACTATTCCCGACCAATAGGGATTCGTCGCGGTCGCAGTTTGCGTCGGAGGACTGGAGGCTGCCGCCGAGTCCGCTTTGTTTCGTCTCCCTAAATTCTCACACTCAGGCGAGCACGTCTTATCCGGAGAAGGAACAAGGGCCTCCTTGAACGCTTTATGCTTCGAGACAAAACGCTTTTGAAAAGTTTACACGATGGTCCTTGTCAGCTCTCGTCGCGCTCCCAGTCACGAAGGGATGATACCCGGTAGTCCGTGGAAGCCGATTACTCAGGTTCACCCGGTGTATTATCTGCGTGAGAGATACCTAAGACGAGAGGGTTTTGTATCCACCCACTCGCCGCGATCTCTCTCGTCTACGTCATTCAAATTTCACGAGTCGCAGTGCGCACCCGGTATTGTTAACGTTGTCCACTTAATAGCCGTGCCAGCCAAAACGGCGCTCCCAATTTCGGCGACCCACCCGAAATTTTCGTGGCACCCTATCGGCGCAACGAATCAATCGGAATCGAATCGGTCTGGCGAAACAGAAGCAAGATACTTTGACGAATTTGCTTGGGCTGTGGCTTTGAATCAATGGAGGGGAAGGCTTTACGATTTAGAACCATTATCTCTTTGGGATCGTCATCATTTTTGTACACTGATGATCGTTGATCTTGTTGCAAGACTTTAAGGAACGTCAACTTATTTCAATTACTTTGGAATGTCTGGATTTTCCTCCATTTGTACGTACGTAAGATATAATCAATATTGATATGCATATATCTGAATTGTATTGAATATTTTAGAAAATAATTTATAGCGTTAGTTGAAAGATTTAAGTGTAACACTTTTCTGTCTCAGGAGAGAAACGCAGTATTATTGCAGGGTCAGAGGAACATTGATTAATATCTTGCACAATTATTTCACTGCAGATTCTGTGTATTTTTCATTACTATTTTGTATGTCAGGTCTGCATAGTATGTACACACACAAATGAAGTCGTTCTAGCCCAAAAATGTTATCTTGTGTAAAGAGAAGAAGCAGTGATGTGTAAGAACATACACTTTCCTCTTATAAATAAATTTTTATAATAAAATTAACGCATCTGCTTTCCTTTCTCCCACTCACTATACTAACACGATATCGTCTTTCAAAGCGCGTAACCTAATGAAATTTGAATCTGGCGAAAAATTGTATCTTTTGAATACATTTTGATACATTTTTTTGGGCGAAACGTGTGCTTCGGTTTTCGTCCGTCCGCTAAACCCTTTAGTCGTCCTACGGTTAACCTGCTTGTCCGCCGATGCTGTCGCTATTTCGAGTGGAATGCGTTGTGTACAAGATTCCCCTTAGGGTGGGGCAAAATAGGCGAAAAAGAAGGCGGAGACCGGCTGGCGAATGCCGCGGCGGTGTGGGAAGGAATAAGGAGAGCTCGAACAAATGTTTTCAATATGTTGCATAAATCGCGTGTTTCATCGTAAATTGAAATGGAAATGCATATAACCGTACGATATGGAAGCGGCTTTATTGTTCCATTCTTATTCCGGTGACGTTTCTATGGCGCCTCCTCTTCCTTTATATCGCGGAGAGGACGGCGACGACGACGGCCGCCATCGATCCGTCCGCGGGGAATCTCTTTTTAACTCGGACCTTCCTTTCTCCTTACAGATGTCATCGTCCTAGAGATAGTCTGTTCTCGTGGAGCTCGGGCTTTGACAACTTCACCGGGTTCGTCAACTGGGGCTTCCTGTTGCTGGGCATCGGCGGAATCCGATTGCTGCTCGAAAACTTCATAAAGTGAGTATATACCGAGGGATCTTGATAAAACCGGCCGCCGCGCCGCATCAAACGCCGCGATATGTGACCGATTTCCTGATGTCCGAGGATCTCCCGCGCGACGATACAAGAATCCACGGAACTCGCTGAAACTCTCGGGGTCGTAGCTTTTTGTGGCGATCGATGAGCAGATTTTCTTGTTCACTATTTTCGGCATTGAAATTGTTTCGTTTTTGTACAATCTTTATCGGCGTGCAGGTTAGAATTTTTGTTGTTGGGGCTTGTGATAGACAAATTATAAACTAGGAATTAGGAAAGTACGATAAAGTGATTCAACAGTTGTTATGATTTGAGTCGAAGATGATAAAAATTGCTGAAGTTGGGAACAGGTTTCGGTGGAGGACTTGCAATTGGAAACAGGACTTGAGAACAGTACTTCGAAACACGACTTAGGAACAAGAAATGGAAACAGAACTTAAAATGAGCTTTAAGTAATACGATTTAGGAACAAGAATTAGAAACAGAACTTCAGAATAGCACTTGGAAAGATAAATTGAGAACAGGACTTGAAAACAGCAATTCGAAGTATGACTTAAAAACAAGAATTAGAAACGGGATTTTGGATTAGCACTTAGAAACACAAATTAGGAACAAGAATTGGAAACGGGATTTAAAAAGAGCTTTAAGTAACACGATTTAGGAACAAGAATTAGAAACAGAACTTAAGAATAGCACTTGGAAAGATAAATTGGGAACAGGACTTGAAAACAGCACTTAGAAATATGATTTAAAAACAAGAATTAGAGACGGGATTTAGGATTAGCACTTCGAAACACAAATTGGGAACACCAAGAATTGGAAACGGGACTTAAAAAGAGCTTTGAGTAACACGATTTAGGAACAAGAATTAGAAACAGAACTTAAGAATAGCACTTGGAAAGCTAAATTGGGAACAGGACTTGAAAACAGCACTTAGAAATATGATTTAAAAACAAGAATTAGAGACGGGATTTAGGATTAGCACTTCGAAACACAAATTGGGAACACCAAGAATTGGAAACGGGACTTAAAAAGAGCTTTGAGTAACACGATTTAGGAACAAGAATTAGAAACAGAACTTAAGAATAGCACTTGGAAAGCTAAATTGGGAACAGGACTTGAAAACAGCACTTAGAAATATGATTTAAAAACAAGAATTAGAGACGGGATTTAGGATTAGCACTTCGAAACACAAATTGGGAACACCAAGAATTGGAAACGGGACTTAAAAAGAGCTTTGAGTAACACGGTTTAGGAACAAGAATTAGAAACAGAACTTAAGAATAGCACTTGGAAAGCTAAATTGGGAACAGGACTTGAAAACAAGAAACAAGAAACAAGAATTAGAGACGGGATTTAGGATCAGCACTTAGAAACACAAATTGGTAACAAGAATTAGAAATGGGACTTAAGAATAGCGCGTAGAAACACAAATTGGAAACAAGAATTCGAAGCAGGACTTAGGAACAGCACTTAGAAAAACGACTGAACTTGCGAACAGAATTTAGGATTAAGATTTACGTCATTACGTCAAGGCTATAGTTTTCACGAAAAATAACAATTGTTTCTATACAAGCTTATTTTTGTCCATAAATGTTCGTACACATTTCAAACAAACTACAAAAAGATGTTTTTTATCGGCTAATTAGGCAGCTTGCTGCCTAACCTGTAATTCCTCTGCGTCGCACCTCTTCCGACTCATTAAAGAATACTCATTAGCAGGGTTCATGAATTGCTTAAGCAGCGAACAGAGATAAAAATAGCGAATTCGGGAAAGAACTGAAAGGTGCGACGGTGTAGTAGCGATTCACCTGGCGCGTTGTCACCGCGATTTATCAGACGATGTCGTCGGCTGACACTGATGCCTCTATCAATCGCTGGGAATGTTAGCAGATCGCTCGTCGGCGTTCGCTGGCATTTTTTCACCGGCGATAGGGGTTAGACCTCTCGATCATGGGACTCGTCAAGGGTGGAGGAGCAGTTTGGAAGCAGGAAAGAAACGGTCGGCCGTGCTCCGGGCTCCAAATAATGCGAGCGAGGGGAGGGTGGAAGGAAGGACAGCTTCATCAAGCTGTCATAGGGCATAGTTTGGCGGAGGAAGGGTATCACGGCGTGAAAGAGAAACGAGAAAGAATCCCGGGGAAATGGTAACTTCGATGAAGTCGGTCGGGGGAGGTGGGGGGGGGGGGGGGGGGGGAGTGAG